CTAATATCATACAACTAATAACAGGCAGAGCCAGGATTCAAACCCAGCAATCTATCTCTAGAGTCCATGCTCTTATGCAATCTTCCTAGTAAGTAACAAGAAATGGTAACATTATTATTGAGATTAAATTCAAAGAGTTTCCATTCATTAAGAGGGCACTGGTGTAAGAAGGACTCAAGAAGATACAAAGAAATGCCAAGATCTTTGCCTCAAAGAAACTCTCAATATGATTTGGGGTGTGGGGTGTAGGGTGCGGGGTTGGAATGAGGCTGGAGTGACCCAGCCTAGGATTGGAATGGGAAGGAACTGGGTTATATGGCAGGGAAGGAAGCACATAGAGGCTTCAGGGAAGGTTTGGATTGTGGGAAAGAGGGAGGGGCTGGACCACAGCAGGAGAGATTCAGTTTCAGGAAACTGCTTCTTAGGAGCTGGTCTGAAAGGTGGATTTTCCATGGGGGCATCCCTGGCTGGGTGGGGGTGGCTGTGTCACAGCGAGATCTAGTGGGGGCGGGTAGCTGCACTTACTGGCACTGGGAGTATGAGGTCAGGGTTCCCAGCGAGATCTGCGATGTGGCGGTACAGGGGGACCCCCTTCTCAGCTGCTCCTGCCTTACACACGGCCAAGGACACGCCCAGGATGGCATTGGCCCCAAACTTGGCTGGAAGGAGGCAAGCGGGAAGAAAGGATGAGAGCTTCTTCCGGGTTTGGGGTGGCTACTCCAGGAAGACGCCAGAGCTCCAAACCACTGAGCATGAAGAATTGGTTAACAGATCTCTCTCCTACCGCCTGAGTAGCTCTGGGAGCCCCCACCCCGGGGGAATGTGTCAGCTGCATGTCTGTGTCCACGGCCCAGCCCAGGCCTGGCAGAGGGCAGGCATAGGAAATGCCTGTGGAATGAACACAAATCCATCCAGCTGCGGTGTGACCCAAAATGGGGGACTCAGAAATAACCCATCAGGCCTCACCCCTGTGGCCTCTCACCATCTCTCCCATACCTCAACCCTTCCCCACCGCTGCCCTTCACTCACACTTATTCTCGGTCCCATCCAGCTCAATCATAAATTTGTCAACTTTTTCTTGATCCACAACACTTAGTTTCTGGAAGGGTGGGTTTGAGAGGGGAGAGGAGGTCAGATTTCTCAGAAGTCAGGGCACGTACAAGGGGAGGATAAGTGAAAATGGGGAGAGGCGTGTCTGGGGTGAGGGAGCAGGGGCATGGAGAGGAGACTCCAGGGAGCCGGCTTCCCCACTTGCCTTTTCCAGCAGAGCAGGGCCTAGAGTCTTGTTGATGTGCTCCACAGCCTTCAGGACTCCTAGACAGGCCAGAGGACGAGGTTTGGATCTCAATCAATTGGGCCTCTTTCTGTGGACCCCAGCTCCTCAAGAGCTTTGGGGGTTCCGGTCCTCTACCCATTGTGCACCCATGTCCTAAAGCCACCCACACAGACTCCTGCACTGGTGTCTCCTCACCTTTCCCCAGGTAGCGGCCTTTGTCCCCATCTCTTAGTTCCAGAGCTTCATAGATACCCGTGGAAGCCCCACTGGGCACAGCTGCTCGGAATCGGCCTGGGGCAGGAGGAATTGGAAGATCACAGGGATGGCTAGGCCAAGTGGCTCATGCCTGTAATTCCAGCACTTTGGGAGGCCTAGGCAGGTGGATCACTTGAGGTCAAGAGTTCAAGACCAGCCTGGCCAACATGGTGAAACCGTCTCTACTAAAAATACAAAAATTAGCTGGGCGTGATGGCACAGGCATGTAATCCCAGCTACTTGGGAGGTTGAGGCATGAGAATCGCTTGAACCTGGGAGGTGGAGGTTGCAGTGAGCCGAGATTGCACCACTGCACTCCAGCCTGGGTGACAGAGCGAGACTCAGTCTCAAAAAAAAAAAAAAAAAAAAAGAGCTCACAGGGAGTCCCCTCTACCCCTCAAAGGGCTGAGGTATCCTCTCTAAGCTCAGGGACAGGAGGCAGTGCAGAGAGAGACTCCTGCTTCTCCTCTTCTCCCAGCTTCCAGCTCTGGTTCCATTTTGGAAGAGGGCTTGGGAAGAAGTCTGGGAAAGGGAACCTGAGAGAAAGGAGAAGATATGGCACAGAATTGGGGGGTAAAGGCCAAAGGGTTGGGGTCTTCTGGGGCAAGCCTATCCAATGGGCCTCATGTTACCCTTGGCTGTGTGCAGGTCCACCTCCACTGTGGGGTTGCCCCTGGAGTCCAGGATTTCCCGGGCAAAGATTTTCTGCATGGCCATGGCTGCAGGACAGGAGATGTGAGTGTAGACAGTTGATCTCTTAAGGAACCAGAAATCCCTTGCCCTTTAAGAGTCTTCCCCACTCCAAGAAGGCAGGTGCTGGAGCTAAAAATACCCTACAAAAAGGTCACAGACCAAAGAGGCAGGCGCAGCCCCCTCCCCCACTCAGAACAGCTCTTATTCCACCCTCCCATCCTAAGAATCCAGGGGCCTCTCATCTATGGCTCCTAGGATGCCATCACTCCCCAAGCCCCCACCTCCCCCAGGGCTGCACTTAGGCCTTCTCCTTCCACCCTCTGGTCAAGCAATCTGTTCTTCACCGCTGGTGGCCTTCAAATCCTTTCTGGTTCTCATTTTCCTGCTCCGATATCCTCTTGGGCCCCCAGTTCCCTACCAGGTTCCAACTCTAGCTGCCCTTCTCTATCCATCCTTACTGCCCCTCCTCACAGCCTCCTTTCCCTAGATCCTTGGGTGCTCCCAGAGTTTGTCCCATCTGCTTGCTCCAGCCGCCCTTCCCCCAGCTTTTTCAAGCACCTCCAGTCCCAGGAGAAAAAAAAGCAGAAACGTCCCCCACTTCCTCCAACTCAACACCATGTGCACCCTTTACTACGTCCACCTCGGGGGCTGGAAGATTTACCTGACCTGGGATGTCTTCGTTGGAGGTTTGGATGGAGCTCCGAGTCTAGGTGGCAGCTGGGACAGTGTCAGCTCACCCCCTCTCAGGCTGCGCATTTATCCCTGAGCCACTGGGTCCCCAGCCAGCCCCGCCTCTCTCTCTCTCCATCCTCCCCCCTTCACACTGGGCTGGCAGCCAAGTGCCCACTACAGCCTAAAGCAGAAGCCTCTGGCCCTGGGCACCTGCCCCCTTACCAAAGGTCAACTACTATCCCCCACTTTCTTTCCGTCCCCCAGTAACAGTCCCTGTTTTAATTCCACCCTTTGGGAGGAGCAGGGGAGGGGCTTCAGATGAGGGGTCTCCCCCACCCCAGGATTACATTCCCCTTTTGCAAACGTCAAGAGGAATGTGTGACCTTTAGGAAAGGCCAGGGGTAACCTGAGCCCTGCAAGCCTGGGGAGGGGGCCTGGAAGAGGGGCTGCAGGATTGACGTCCACACACGCTCAGATCGCTGGGCGGGCCTCTGCCCTCAGTGGGGGAAGGGAGGGGACTTCTGGGCAAGCTCTGACGTCTAAAATTGAACCCCCCCACCCCAGAAGGCGAGAGGGTCTCACCTCTTAGGGTCCTCATAACGGCCATTATCGGCGCCGCCCCATCCTACCCTCTCCAGGCCAGCCAGGGTGGGGATGAATTAGGGGCCAGGAGACAAATTTAGACGGGCCCTCTCGGCTGGCGCGGCGCCCGATTGATAACGCTGGGACAGCACTTGTCGCCCGGCGTGGGGACTATTGGTCAGAGCCCTTCTCCCCACCGACTGTGGGCGCTCAGCGCACGGCCCCAGCCCATCAATGAATGGGGTTGAATCAACAGTGAACAAAAATGAATGGACCGAGGACGGGTGGCCCTTTGTGAGCTTCTGCACGCCTGGGGCTCCTCCGGCGCCCCGCCGTAGCACTGCGGGGAGGTGGGTCTCTGCTCTCGGTAGAGATCTCCACCTTGCCGGCTCTGGGGCCAGTGCGGGGTCTGCCCCGAGCTCCTCTGCAGCCATGCCAGCCGAACGGCTGGGGTCACGGGGCTCGACTCGGAGGCCCTTCCCGCCGGCGCCGGGGCAGCCCGCGCCCGGTGACTCACCCCCGCCTCCCTCTCCCCACCCCTGCTCCCCGCCCCGCCGGCCAGCGCGGCCTCCCAGCCCCCACCTCAGGCCACCTGCCCCGCCACCCGTCCCGTCTCCCATCTCGCCCCGCCCTCTCATCTCAGGCCGCTCCTCCCGGGATTTTTCCACCCTAGGGTGGGGGTGCGGCGGGTCAGGGGTCAGGAGATGGCGGGCGGGGAGCGCCGCCACGTGCCCGGGTGCGGCCCCGCCCGAGCCCGCCAGTGACTCAGCCGCGCGGCTGTCGAGGAACACGGGCTCGAGGGGCGTCGGGGACTGTGGGGTTCGGCGTGGACGCCAGGGATGCGCGCCGCGCTCGGGAGGAGGAGAGAAAAAACCAAGCCCCTTTCCGCCCGGGCCGCGCTCCGTGACCTCGCGCCCCTAACCCAGGCTCCGGAAGCTGCCCAGCCTTCGGCGGCGGGTCGGAGAAGACGGCTTCACCGCGGCCGCCGCCCGGCCGCCCCGCCCTCCCCAGGTGGCGGCGAGCGCACATCTGACTGAGAAAAAACCCAAAGGGCCCGAAGTGGGACTTTCCCCTTCTTGAAAAAGTTGCCACTCTTGCAACTTGAGTATTCTTCCGCCTCGAAAAATAGCCCCGCCTGTTAAACCCCGCGGGTGTCCGCGCTCAGTGACCTCTGCAGACTCAGGCCAAGGGGCACGGCTGGTGATCCAGACATTGCCTGCCCGGGGCAGGCGCGGCTGGGATATGGGATAAGGCCCTGGGCTAGAGCCGATCCAGAGAAGGGACAATCCTCTGGACTGAGAATGGGCCCTGGTGAACCTAACCTGCACTACCCGGGAAGACGCTGGGGGCAGAAGTGGCCCCGGTGGGTGCCTTCAGCTATGAGAGCGACTAGGGTATTTGGCCAAACTCCCTTTGCTTTCCTATTGAATAAGTAAAATCAAGGGTGGTGAGGCGGCAGCGTGCACGGCTTCGCCCCCGCCCTTTCCGCCAGGCGGGAGACACGTCCCCAGCCCGCCTTCCTTTCCCGGAGGGTCCACATGGGTCGGGCCGGGCGCGCTCCCGTGCAGCCGGCTCCGGCCCGGACCGCCCCATGCGCTCTCCCTCCCGGCCCTGGCGCAGGCGCAGGCGCGGGCACACGCGCCGCCGCCCGCCGGTCCTTCCCTTCGGCGGAGGTGGGGGAAGGAGGAGTCATCCCGTTTAACCCTGGACTCCCCGAACTCTCCTTAATTTGCTAAATTTGCGGCTTGCTAATTCTTCCTCCTTTCTCTTCCCTTCCTTCCTTCTGGCTCACTCCCTGCCCCGATAGCAAAGTCTGGTTTATATTCAATGCAAATTGGAGCAAACCCTACCCTTCACCTCTCTCCCGCCACCCCCTATCTTTCTACATTGCTTTCCATCGAACTCTGCAAATTTTGCAATAGGGGGAGGGATTTTTAAAATTGCATTTGCAAAGTTCGGTGTCTGGGCTGGCGAGTGGGGGAGGAAGGGAATGGGGAGTAGGCCCCGCCCCTACCGTCCTTTGCAAATAAAAATCTAGCGGGGCGGGGGGGAGGAGCAGGAAGTGGCGGTGCGAGGGCTGCTGCACAGCGAGCAGAGCCGCGGTCCGGACGGCAGCGCGTGTCTCGAGCTCTCCGCCTCCCCCCGCCCGCCAGCCGAGGCAGCTCGAGCCCAGCCCGCGGCCCCAGCAGCAGCGCCGAGAGCAGCCCCAGTAGCAGCGCCATGGCCGGGTGGAACGCCTACATCGACAACCTCATGGCGGACGGGACCTGTCAGGACGCGGCCATCGTGGGTTACAAGGACTCGCCCTCCGTCTGGGCCGCCGTCCCCGGGAAAACCTTCGTCAACATCACGGTACTGCGAGGCCTGCGGTCCGGGGCACTGGTCGGGCTTGGACCCTGAGGGAGGGACTTGGGTGGGGGCGGGCGCGGTCTAGAGCGCGCAGCGAGAGGCCCTGACTGGGTGCTTGCCCTGGAAGCGGCGCGAACGGCGGCTGCACGTGAGCGGGTCCCTCGGTTGCTCCTAAGTCCTATGCCCCAGGCGGCGGCGCCCATCCCGCCCGCTACCCCGCTTTCCGCGACGGGGCGTTACATCCGGGGCACAGGGCGGGGAGGGGCGCGACGCCTGGTGCGGCGGCCCACTTCCGCCTCTCCCAGGGCGGGGTGGGGACGCGCCTCAATTTTAATTGGGGATTGAGATTGAGAGGGGACCCGGGGACCCTCGAACCCCCAGCTCCCCGTCCGGCCGCCAGCTCGCGCCCCTCTACCATTGTTTCCCCTGGTGCGGGAGGGAGCCCCAGGCGCGTGGTATTGGTCCCTTGCCCACCCTCTGTGGACTCCCGGCCCCTCCCAACTCCGTTAGAGAGGGCGAGGCCACCACACGCCCCCCCAGCTCAGCACGTTGGACTCAACATTCCTGCGAGGCCAATCCCGGAAGTCCCCTCGCCCTCCCTTCCCGCCATCCGGCGGGGCCTGGAGCAGGGGAACTTTGTGAGAAGTTCTGAGACAGCATATGCGAAAGAATATGGGTTGACTACTGCTGCTCCCACCACCATCTCCCTGTCCGCACTGCCCGGAAGTGGGGAGGGGGAGCGGAAGTTCGAAAGGGGGGGAAGGGGGTTTCCGGGCGGGAGGGGACCGGATGTGGGGGCTTGGGGTGAAAGGGGGAGGGGGGAAAAGGTTCCTGGGGTACCTAGACCCGAGAGCTGGCCTGCCGGGTCTAGCCCCCGTCCACCTTCAAAAGTTTTCCAACTTTCCCGGAAAGCCCCCAGGGGTTTGCTTCCTCTTGTCAGGGCAAACATACCTGGAGCTAAACTAGGTTACTTGGAGACCCAGGCGTCCGGGCCCTAAGAGCTCCTGCAGAACCTTTGACCAAATAAGGGCAAAGTTGCTTCTCTTGCCTCGCCCGCCCCCCTCCCTTCCCCTCTCCGCTTCTGCTTTTCCTGAAGGAGAGTTCTGAGCATCCAAAGACTCCTCACTTTTCTCACTGATTCCCTTTATTTCCTGGGTTTACTTTCCCCCATTAACACTGAGATCTAAATCTCTAGAGGAGTATGTCATCCCTTCCTCCCTGGTCCCATATTCTAAGTTTGAGAATCATGATCGTTTTCTGCACTAACGTTCCACAGTCCTCAGGGTTTCTCACAGTTCATTGATGGGTACTGAGTATGTAACTTCGCGGGGTGGGTCTTTGGAGAACAAGGTGGGAATCTTGGTGCACTGACTAACTTGATGGGCGCTTGGTTCCTCTTCCAGCCAGCTGAGGTGGGTGTCCTGGTTGGCAAAGACCGGTCAAGTTTTTACGTCAATGGGCTGACACTTGGGGGCCAGAAATGTTCGGTGATCCGGGACTCACTGCTGCAGGATGGGGAGTTTAGCATGGATCTTCGTACCAAGAGCACCGGTGGGGCCCCCACCTTCAATGTCACTGTCACCAAGACTGACAAGAGTGAGTTCCTGAGTCTTATCCTTCCTCTAGCGCCAAGATCTCTCATGTACCGCCTTCTGGTAATCTTGAGGGTGCTTTCTTGTGTGATTCCCCAGCATGAAGGGAGTCAGACCAGTATTCTGCCCCTTGTCTGCTGGATGCTGGATGGAACATGGGATAGTCCCTCCATTTCCGTCTCAGTTCCTCATCTTGTAATTCGAAGTTGTTGAACTGCATTACCTCTTAAGTTACTTCCTGCCTTGAGCTCGGATTAGAAACTGTTTTCTAGGAGTATAGGTAGATTGTTGGGGTCCTGAATCATCATTTAGTTAATCGTTTGAGCTCTTTTGTTAGAACCTGGAGGTGGCATGCTCATCCACAGCCCTTTCTAGCCTGAACATGAGTCAACAGTCTATGAGCCTTTGACCCCTAAGTTTTTAGTCTGTTCCTCTCCAGCATTTAAGCTTGATTTTCCTCTTTTGAAAAGCCTTATTGTTTCAGGGTGACTGACAGCCTGCCTGTGTGTGTGTGTGTTGGGGGGGGGGGGTTGGGAGAGATGAGGTTGGGTTACAGCCCCCAGGGCTGGACAGCTGCTGAACAGCTGGCAGGGGTGGAATTGTGACACCTGGGTCCTAGCCTCCTTTCTCTTTCCTCCTCCTCCAGCGCTAGTCCTGCTGATGGGCAAAGAAGGTGTCCACGGTGGTTTGATCAACAAGAAATGTTATGAAATGGCCTCCCACCTTCGGCGCTCCCAGTACTGACCTCGTCTGTCCCTTCCCCTTCACCGCTCCCCACAGCTTTGCACCCCTTTCCTCCCCCATACACACATACACCATTTTATTTTTTCGGCCATTACCCCATACCCCTTATTGCTGCCAAAACCACATGGGCTGGGGACCAGGGCTGGATGGACAGACACCTCCCCCTACCCATACCCCTCCTGTGTGTAGTTGGAAAACTTTTTTGTTTTTTGGGTTTTGTTTTTTTTTTTCTGAATAAAAAAGATTCTAACAAGGTGCTGTGTGATTTGAGCTTGGGTGTCAGAATGGGGGACAGGTAGTGTGACTTGCCTCCTTTATCATGGCTTGGGAGCAGGAAGGTTGAGGCACTACAAGGTGCAGGAATTTGAGCTTCTGGCCAGGTGGCCCTGCCCCTCCACAGTGGCATTTCCAGGCCTAAGTCCTCAGTGTGCTGGTTAAATTGGTGGATAATGGAATGGAGCCATCTGGACCAGAGAATGGGTGCAGGCCTGCAGGCAAGGCAGGGCTAGTTGAGTCATCCTTGTGGGTGGGGCTCCCCCTGAGTCATAGCAAATGCTTGCTGGGGCTGTCCCCATGACTATAGGTTAGTGTCTCAGCATTCTCTTGGTCCTTATGGCTAAAGGGGTGATTCCCCCAAAGGGTTAAGTTCACCTAAAAATGATCTCACCCTTCCTTAGTCCACAAAAATTTTATTAGCCCAAGAAGTGAAGACCCAGTCCCTTTGCTTGCCCCAGCCCCACCCCAATGCCCCTCAAAAGGATAGGTGTGGGTAAGGGAGCAGCTTAGGATGGAATGTCCCCTATCCCTCAACTTAGAAGACTGGAGGGAAGAAGACGGTCTGTGCAAATAGGTCACCAGAAGTGTACCTGTAGAGGGTTATTAGGCCAGGAATACAGGGGAACAGGGAGGAGTGGGTGGAGGATCTGTTGAAGGCCCAGGAAAAACAAGGGGAGCTGGGGCTAGGGAACCAAATGAGGTGGGAAGAGTGGGGCTAGAACCCAAAAGTGGGGTCCTTTCTGAAGCAGGGTGGTCCCTTGGCTCCCCTTCTTCATCACCCTCCTCTTGCCCCTGAGCTTCTTCCTCTTGCTCTTCGTCCCCAGGACCACGATGAACAGGCTGCTTGCAAATGGGGCAGGTCTTCCGGGTCTGAGTGAGCCAGGGGTCCACGCAGCGGCTGTGGTAGGCTGCAGAGAGGAACAAGGTGAAGCACCTGGTGGCTGCCAGTGGCAGAGGGGCATGGGCAGGCAGTGAGGGCCTCACCATGAGCACAGGGGAGTACCCGCAGCTTGTCTCCATCCTCATATTCATCCAGGCAGATGGCACAGACATCATACTGGTCTCCTGGGACAGAAAGAAAATAATCTAGTCCTTCACTGAGCCACCATGATCCAGGGCTAAGGCTTTTAAAGCCTTGCGAAAATTTTCCCTCACCTACAAAGCCAGTGGAAGAGCTAAGACAGGTAGGCAGGATAAGGTCAGGGCAGAACATGGAAGAATTTAGGGCTAAAAGGGACAAGCAAAGAGAAGCAGAGGTAAGAAGGGAAGTGGTTTTTGGGGAGGTGTGAGGGTGGAGATAGGGAGTGGAAGGGACGGAAATGGGCAGGGCTTCTGCCATAGCCTTATACGGGCATTGGAGGCCCCAGGGCCTAAAGCCCCAGCCCCACAGTACCACTTTCTTCCTTCTCTAACTGAATCCTCCCCATTCCTCCCATTTTTCTGCTCTCTCCACATCCCCCATAAGCAAAGTCTATCCCTCTATTGTTTGGCACAATTATTTCACTTAATCATCTTTGCTTTGCATCTCTCCCGTCTTCACTGTATTTATGGGTAAAAACAAGACAAGACAGCATCTGAAGCTGAAAACTTCTTACTGCCATCTTTATTACTTTTATTTTTTTGAGAAAGGGGCTCCCTCTGTCGCCCAGGCTGGAGCACAGTGGTGCAATCTCAGCCCCCTACAACCTCCGCCTTCCTGGTTCAAGTGATTCTCCTTTCTCAGTCTCCCAAGTAGCTGGGACTACAAGCGCACAACACCATGCTCAGCTAATTTTTGTTATTTTTTATAGAGATGGGGTCTCACCACGTTGCCCAGGCTGGCCTGGAACTCCTGGGGTCCAGGGATCCACTTGCCTCAGCCTCCCAAAGTGGTGGGATTTTTTTGTTTCATCATGTTGCCCAGGCTGGTCTCAAACTCCTGGGCTCAAGCGACCTACCCACCTCGGCCTTCCAAAGTGCTGGGATTACAGGCACTTGGGATTACGTGAGCCACTGTGCCCAGCCACTGCCATCTTTGTATACCCTATCTTCTGGGCTCAAAGTCCTTCAGAACCAGGTAAACGGTGGGAAAAGCCCTCTCCTCCCCTAACCCCTCACCCTTCTGATAGTCATGTGTAGGAATCTGTTTCAGTTGCTCTTTGGTAAGTCGATTCCGCTGGAGCCGTTTCCGGTGCTGGATACAACGAACTATCTGGTGGAAGAGGGGGTGGATGGACAAGGCTTAGGAATAAAACTAGACAATCTAAGACAAGCCACTCCCATCTCCCAACTCCAGATCCAGTCTGGCCTCATAGGCCTCAGTGCTTCCCATCATGTTCCCTCAGCTACTCACCATTACTGCTCCCATGGCCAAAACCAGCAGTCCCACAATCCCTGTGAAAGGGATGAGGTAATAGCCCAAGGGGAAGGTATTGTCTGGAACCAGAAGCACCCGAGCCCTGGGAAAGGACGACCAGTCTCAGCAGGGCAAGAAAGGCAAAGGGAGAAAAACAGAGGGACAAAGCAACTGGCTCTGGACGAAGCCCATAGGTGGGGATGGGAATGGGAAGAAAGTCAAAGAGGCAGGGAAGGAAGGACAGGAGGCTGAATGGTTCGGGTAATGAGGCCTGGGCTCCAGGTTGGCATGGAACTGCTTGCTGAAGAATGGGAAGGAGGCATATGTCCTACCCCTTTTCGTAGACAAAGAGGGCACGCAGGTACTCGGAGCTTCTCTCCCCAATAAATACAGATGGGATCCAGATCTGCTGCTGGATTTCCTCTGCAGGGATCAAGGTGTTACTCTGGGGACTCACAACCTTCTACTCAAATCCTTTGGGAACCCTGGCATCTGGCACTTTCGCCCCAGCCCACCTAAAGGATTGGCTTCTTTTCCTGAAGCCTTCAGCCTTCCCACCATCTCTGGGTCCTACTGAAAAGCCCAGCTGTATAGATTCCCCCAGCCTTACCACTGTTCCACACCATGTTCAGAAGTTCATTGGAATTCACATTGTGTACTACAGCGGCACCATATCCAGCCTTCTGGGCATTTAGGACCTAGGGAGACAAGGCAGAGGACAAGGAGCCATCATAGGCCTGACTTGTCTTCATTCCTGGTGCCTTTTTTTACCCTCAGCTGCCCAGTTCCCACTCCACATTCAGCAACCTTGAGGTCAAAGTTGCAGTCGAATCTTCGAAGCAGCGCAATGAAGACTGACCCATTGACCGGGGCTGGGGGTGGTGGGGCAATGGGGCTGCAGGCATTGTCTGGGTGAGCCTCCACAAGGAACCCCTGAAGGATGGAAGCAAACAACAGTGAGATTTCTCCTCCCTAGGTTTCACTCTCTACAAGGGCCACCAAACACACCAGCCCACATGCTGCACATCCTCTATCCTCACTTCCTTCTCCTTCCTGGGGTCTGAGCATCGCAACCTCACAACTTTCTCTTAGCCTCTTGAAAAGGTAATGACATAAAACATCCCTTCACCAAACTCTCCCATCATCCCTCTCGCTGTCCCAGATGGGCTAATCTGTACTCTAAACCGCAAGCTAATGCAATTACTTTGTCTTCTAATGTTCCGACCCTCAAGTTCTGTTTCACAGTTTCCTCTCCAACACTTACTCACACAGAACACACTCCCCTCCCTTCAATTTTCTTTTTCTTCTTTTTTTGAGATGGAGTCTCGTTCTGCCACCCAGGCTGGAGTGCAGTGGTGCGATCTCGACTCACTGCGACCTCCACCTCCCGGGTTCAGGTGATTCTCCTGCCTCAGTCTCCCAAGTAGTTGGGACCACAGTCATGCACCATCATGCCCAGCTAATTTTTGTAATTTTAGTAGAGATAGGGTTTCACCATGTTGGCCAGGCTGCTCTTGAACTGGGATTACAGATGTGAGTCACCGCGCCCGGCCTCTTCAATTTTCTTATTACCCATCTCACAAACAACTCGACTGCTACTACGGTCCAACTGAGTTCTTGCTATGTGGCAGTCTTTGGGATGAAGTACTACAAAAATTGCGTATCTAATTTAATCTTCACAATAATCCTAGGAAAACTTATAATATCCCATTTTACAGTAAAACAAACTAAGGCTCAAAGAGAAATTAACTTGCCCAAGGTCATACAAGCAATAACTTCTGAGACCCTCTTGATAAGGACCGTTGATCCTACCTTCCGTCTCTGTCCACTTTCAGTCTCCCTGATAACCTCGGAGTTCCAGGGGTGGACACTTTTGTCTTCTCCCTCTGGATTCTGGATTCTACACTATACGTGCTCAGTTCCTAACTTGATTTTCCTACCTCCAGTTTCACCCAGGACAAACCTCCCCAACCCCAGCCCAGGATGGAAGATCTTGCTAAATACTAAAAAAAGAAAAAAGACAGAAAAGGAAGGAAAGGGGGGGAAGGAGAGGAAGAAAGAAAAGAAAGAAAGAAAATCACCTGGAGTCCCTCTTGGCTCAAGGTAGCCCCAAACAGAGCTGGGAGGTCTGCAAAGTCCATG